TCTCTCTCTCTCTCTCTCTCTCTCTCTCTCTCTCTCTCTCTCTCTCTCTCTCTCTCTCTCTCCAGGTCAGCCAGCCTAGCCAAATCATGAGTTCTGGGTTCAATGAGACCCCATCTCACAATATGAAGCAGAGGGTTATTCAGGGAGAAAGGGTGCTTGCCACCAAGGCTAATGCATTGAGTTCAACCCCACATGGCGGAAGGTAGGAAATGACACTTATAAATTATTCCCTGACCTCTATCTGTATTCTGTGGCAAACACATATACAAATCACAAAACAAGTAAGTTAAGAAATAAATATATGCTTTGAATCTAGTTCCTGAGATCTCTGTGAACTGGAGGCCAGCCTAATCTGCATAGCGAGTTTTGAGCCCTTGTCTCAAACTAAAATAAAAACTTCAAAATAAATAAATAGCCCAACACAGTGACACACACCTTTAATCCCAGCACTGTGGAGCAGAGGCAGGCGGATCTCTGTGAATTCCAGGATAGCCTGGTCTGCAGAGTGAGTTCCAGGACAGACGGAGCTACATAATGAAACCCTGTCTCAAAAAATAAAAATAAATACATAATGTGGAGAGTGGTTAGAGAAGATATCTGAAGTCAACTCGGGTCTCCACACACAAGTACACAAGCCCCACTTCCATACACAGATGAATACTTCCTAAAACTTTTATAGCGGAAATGCCGTGTGAGTCCACTTAGTTGAGCCCCCTAGAGAACTCGAGGCCATAGAAAGGTGGCAGGCGCAGGGAAGGTGAGGGGAGCCAGTGTTTAGGAGGTGAGGGGAGCTAGTGTTTAAGAGGCTGTTTCTCTTTGGACAGCCATGAAAGTTCTGGAGATGTATGTATGTGTCTCCACGTGACAGAAAGCCTGTGGAATGAGGAGGTGTCAGACCCCTTCGCAGGCAGGGCTTGGTGGAAGGAAGGTAGGTCACCAGGAATGTGCCCTGACAGGGATATTAGCACTTCTGCTCCATCCTGACTGCTGTTGTGTCACATGACCAGGCCTCCTCTGTGTCACATGACCAGGCCTCCCACGGAAGCACTTCACAGCCGAAGTCTCAAAGCTATAGGGCCAATGGACTCAAATCCAGAGCCAAAGTAGGCCTTCACCCCTTCCTCTCCCTGCACCCTCTCTTGTGGTGCCAAGGGTGGACCCCAGGACTTTGTGCCTGCTAGAGGGGCACTCTGCCACTGGGCCACATTCCTACACCAAATTGTTCCTCCTCTTAAGTTGATTGTCTCAGGGAGCTTAACAAAACAACCGACTAACACAGTCACCAAAACAGGTACTTAGCCAGTCAGTGGTGGCCCCATGCCTTTGATCCCAGCACTCAGGAGGAAGGGACAGGTGGATCTCTGTGAGTTTGAGGCCATCATGGTCTACAGATTGAGTTCCAGGACAGCTAGGGCTACACAGAGAAACCCTGTGTCGAAAAAAGTATACTTAAACATGTTCTCAAAGTACATTTTATGCTATGTATATCTTAGCGCAGTTTTTAAAAATATATACTGTTCATGTCAACCCAACCTCTCTCATCATTGCCTGGACATCCAAGTCTGTGGCTACCAGCTCTTCATCCAGAGGCCCTGGCCGTTCATATATAAGTTCTCTTTGCTACAACCTGTCCAGAGTTTTCTTCTCCTTTTCTTCCTAATTTAAGATTTATTTTAATGTAAGTATGTCTTTTTGACTATATTGAGGGTGTCCCCAGAGGCCAGAATCGGGTATTGGATCCCCTGGAGCTGGAGACACAGGCTGTTGTGAGCCACTGACGTGGGTCCTGGGACTGAACTTGGGTCCTCTAGAAGCGCAGGAAGCAGGTGGGATTTAACAGTCGAGCCACCTCTTCTTCCCCATTCTTTCTTTTTTGAGGCATGGTCTCACTGGTACCCAAGGCTAGCCTAGAACTTGGATCCATCTTTCTGCCTCAGCCTCCCAAGGGCTAGGTTTATGGCTGTGCGCTATCCCACCTGGCTTCATGTGGAATTTTTCTACCCGCTTGTGAACCCGTGTCGGCTGACTTCTCCCGACGTATGCACTTCCTAAGTCATCCACTTTCACTCTTCCTTCAAAGGTGGGCAAACCAGCTCAGGAGGCTGGTGATATGCCCAAAGTGCCACCACGCAGGAAGGGATAGAGTCAGAATCAAATTTTATTCCCAACGTGGCCCTTGCTTTTCTGCCATTCTTTCTAGGCTCTGACTGCTACCTCACCCACTGGGAAGCAAGGGCTCCTTAACATAGTGAGTGGGTTTTCACTTTTTCCAGCCCACACCACACTCACCAGAGTAGAGGAAGCAGATGTCTCTCTCAGGTCCTGGAGACACAGAGAATTCAATTCCAGATACCCAGCCTGCCCTACACAGGGCTCGCATAGCTACAAAGCCTGCGGTAGGTGACATGGTAGAAGTGGGAGCCCTGGATTTTAGGACAAGGAGAAATGCATCCTACGACTGCCCCCACCCCCCAGCCAGGGACTCGCCTTGGGGTCTCCTTACCCAGCTTGGCGAGCAGCTCTGACAGGACCTGGATGTCCTTCACCAAAGACCCTCGAGATTCTTGGATCTGGCGCTCCACGGTGCTCAGCCCAGAGACCACCTTGGCCAGAAAGAACATCTTAGTGGCTCCTTGGGGTGATTGGGAGGGCTGGCTAGTTTTATGTCAACTTAAAACAAGCTTAAGTCACCTGAGAGGAGGAAACCTGAACAGAGATGATGCCTCCATAAGACAGGGCTGTAGACGAGACTGTAGGCCATTTTCTTAATTAGTGATTGATAAGGGAGGGCCCAGGCATGGTGGGTTGGTGACACCCCTGGGATGCTGGTCTTGGTTGCTATAAGAAAGCAGGCTGACCAAGTCATGAGGAGCAAGCCAGTAAGCAGCACCCCTCCATGGCCTCTGCATTGGCTTCTACCTCTGGGTTCCTGCCCTGTTTGAGTTCCTCCCTGACTTCTGTCAGTGATGGACTGTTATCTGGAAATATAAGTGGAATAAATCCTTTCCTTCCCTGGTTGCTTTTGGTCACGGCATTTCATCACAGCAATGGCAACCCTAAGACACTGGGCATAGGAGAGTGTGAGGGCTGGGCACACCCACCTGCTCAGCCTCCTCCAGCTCCTTCTTGCTCGCTTCTGATGTGAGTACTAGCCGAGAGGCCTGGCGGAGTGTGGCCTGGGTCTGGCTGGCCAGTCGGCTGGCACGACGGTGCCTCTGCTTCCCCTCCCTCAGCAAAGCCTTCGCAAGCTGCAGGACAGCAACGGGAAAGAAGAATAAGCCCCTGGGGAAAGAGGGGCTTTGTTCTTTGGTTTTCTCTTTCCAGACTAAAGTTGGAACCTAGAGTCTCGTACAAGCACTCTATGACTAACCCACATGCCATGGCCAATTCATATTTTGCAATCGGGGCTTACTAAGTTACCCAGGATAGCCTTGGATTTGTGATCCTCCTGCCTCAGCCTGTAGAGTAGATGGGATAGAGTCCTGTTCCACCAGGTCTGGCTTGGACAAGAGTTCTTTTGACATGATGCCAAGCAGTCTACACCATAGCCTAGCAGGGAAACCTGATCCTGTTTTAAAAGACCCATTAGATAGCATCGATAGGGGGAGATGGGCAGATGCCAAGGCAAGAATTCACCCAACAATCTGAAAAACAACATGAAAACACCAGAACCCCAATGATCTTACAACAGAAGGATTTGAACACCCTAACACATAGCCTAGAACTCATTCATTCCCACAGTCAATAGGCACGCGCTGGACACAGGCTGTGTTTTGGGTACAAATCCCTGCAAATTACTCATTTCTCCTAGTGGAGACATTCCACCTGTCTTTTATATATGGGGAAACAGAGGTCCAGGGCGGGGGAGGAGGAGTTGCCCAAAGTCTGAACAATGGGACAAGAATCTGCGCCTGGATTTGGCAAGAATATCCAGTATGAACTCAGTGGCTAGGAAAGGCATCCTTGGTTAGTTCCTGATCCTAGATGAGAATCCACACTTATCACTGGAGAGTATGTGAGCTGTGGGCTTGAAATATATGGATTTACTATACTGGGATATATATTTTTCATACTTATTAGTAATCTTATCACCAACTGATGGTAAACTTTGTCAAATGCTTCTCTGTATTGTTAGAGAAGAACGTGTCCAACATTTTCTCCTTCATTTTTATCAATTGCTATATGGTCATTAATTAGCCCGTAATGATACATTCTTGAATCATGGAAATAAATTAGACTCGATAATAAAAAAGAAAAGAAAAGAAACGGCACCTGGGATTCCTAGTTTCAGGCCAGCCCTTCAGAAATTTAGGTACCCAGGAGAAGAGTTCACTTGGGTGTGAGCATTGGATCTGAGGAACACATACACACATATACACACATATACCCCCACCCACCCACATACACACCCCACAAACATACACAAATACACCACACACACACACACACACACATAGAATTCGACCCCAGTTAAAGAAATCCTAAGGAATAGCGAATGTGGCTCAGTTAGACACGTGTTTGCCTCAAATGCATGAGGCCCTGAATTCAATCTTTAGTACAGGATAAACTGGGGGTGGTGGCAGAAGCAGAGGCAGAAAAATCAAAAGTTCAAGGTCATCCTCAGTTAGACAGTGATTCAGGGCTAGCCTAGGATTAAAAACATGAGACTGCCAAAAATTAAAAAGTAGGGGGTGGAGAGATTGCACCCACATAGAGGCTCACAGCTAGGGGATCCTTCTGACTTCTGCATGTACATACTGCACATACATATATGCAGGTAAAACATTGTATACACAAAATAGAGCATCTTAAAAATTGTATAGAAAGTAAATAAGATGAAATTAAAACAGTAACAACAACAAAGAAAAACCTAGAAATCTAGACAACATCCCACTGGATCCAGGTGTGAGTCCTGGTCATGTGACTTAAGCTTGAACTTGGCTCCGCCTAGAGTTTTCACATTCTCACAGGCCCACGGGTGAGGTGTCACCCCATGAGCTCCTGAGCTGAGAGCCAGGACCCACAGCCATCAACACGGAGGGCAAGAAGGCTGTTGTCAACAAGGCTGCTGTCCTGAACCTGACCTTGGCGTTCTCCTTGGCCGTCAGTTCGGCCTCTTTGCTTTTCTTCTTGGTGCTGGAGGAGAGAGCGGCAGCATTTCCCAGCATCCTCTCTGCCTGCCTGGTCTTCCTCTTCGACTCCTCCAGGAGCCTAGCCCGGATGTTGCCTGCTCTCCTCTTCAGCGCTGCCTGCTCCTTGGGCAGAGGAAACCTCAGCTTCACTCCTGCAAAACCGGCCAAGGCTGAGGCAGGAAGAACAGACTCATCCGGAAGAGCACTGCCAATGTGCGACCAGCCCCAGGAGCAGAGGTAGGAGACATAGGAGATCTGTGTGTCCCCTTCTCATAGTGCCCCCCTCCCCAGGAATAACAAGAGGCGTGAGATGCCCTCGGCAAATGCAAAGACGCGTGTGCTGTGATGGTGTCTGTATTGTGATCTCTCTGTTAAAGTCTCATCACACAGTGGTTACAGCCTCTGGGCTGTGCTAGGAGAGGGCAAAAGAGCCTGGGCTTGAGGTTGGAAGTTACTCTGTTGGGTTATGGGGCAGAATCAGAGGGACAATTTTCCACCCAGCACAAGCAAAGTCCAGTTCTCAACCAGGAGAAGGTGACACATGGGAGGTCATGTGCACCTCAATGTGGAAAGGAGACTGAGGGCAGCGAGGCAGGGACACACAATGGGCATCTCACAACCCTCCACAGTTCTGATGCCCCCACAAGAACACATAACATCTCGTAGTACAGATTTACATTTCCCTAAATGTGACTCTGGTTATATAAGCGTGCACATGGCCGTGTCCTTTTCATAGGAGGCCCCGATGAGCAATCAGGACTCTGGGTCCCAAGAAAACTAGAAAACATGCTCTGCCCCCACGCCCCTGGGGGGGCCCACTGGGGTGTGGTGTCTGCAACAGGGCAGGGCTGGAGGGAAGGTGCTAGGTGGAGGGGACAAAGAACCACAAAGGCTTCTCTCTGACTTGAAGCTGGTATTAAAGGGTCAGTCACACAGTGGGCCTTGAGGTAGAGAGATAAGCAGTTCTGATTCAAGGATGGATGAGCGACTGATTTTCTCCGTCTACAGGCCACTTGGGTTCTCTCTTTCTCTCTCTCTCTCTCTCTCTCTCTCTCTCTCTCTCTCTC